TTTAGGCTCTTTCCATGATTTGGCTTTTGTTGAATGTGCTGCTATGAACATTGGGGTGCATGTGCCCCTATGCATCAGCACTCCTGTATCTCTTGGGTAAATTCCTAACAGTGCTATTGCTGGGTCACAGGGGAGTTCTATTGTTAATTTTTTGAGGAACCTCCACACTTTCCCAGAAGGGCTGCACCAGTTTACATTCCCACCAACAGTGTAGGAGGGTGCCCGTTTCTCCACATCCTCGCCAGCATCTATAGTCTCCTGATTTGTTCATTTTAGCCACTCTGACCAGTGTGAGGTGGTATCTCAGTGTGGTTTTGATCTGCATTTCCGAGATGATGAGGGACGCTGAAGCATCGTTTCATGTGTCTGTTGGCCATCTGAATGTCCTCTTTGGAGAAGTGTCTGTTCATGTCTTCTGCTCATTTCTTCACTGGATTATTTGTTTTTTTGAGTGTGGAGTTTGGTGAGTTCCTTATAGATTTTGGATACTAGCCCTTTATCTGATATGTCATTTGCAACTATCTTTTTCCATTCTGTCGGTTGCCTATTAGTTTTATTGATTATTTCCTTTGCCGTTGGCACACACATTGTTAAGCAATTGTGAAAATGTTAGTTTAAAGGAACAGGATCTATTTTAAGGGCACCTATTTACAGAGACCATAACTGACTTGTCTGCTTCTGCTGCCCATCACCAGAAGGATCCAAGGAAATTGCAAGGGGACAAACCACTGGAAATTTCTATAGATAGGATTTATAGGTTATGAGTGGGATTCATGAAAATTTGACAAGCTATCATATTTTGTTTACTAACTAAACCTTTTCTCCAGCCAGGATTGTGGTATCATCAATTCTATGAACAGCTTAGATTAAACAGATGGTCCTCTCTGGCTGGGCTGAAGAGTATTTACTTTATAATCAGAAAAGATAGTTCTTTATATTCCTTGGCCTTATCAGTGAATCCTTAGTGCCCGAGAACACTGTCTTATAGAAACATTTTTATAATATTTTGTCCATATTTTATAAGGGTTATTTTATGGTCAAGCTGCTCACTTACAGATATAATCATGCCCCAGTGTCTATTAATGGTTCTTGTGTTTTCTTTTTTGCACAAAGAATGTACAACCTAGAGTAAGCAAAAGATACATCCCAACTCTCACTCCGTAGGTTTGTTTTAAATGATGTAGCTTGGGGCGCCTGGGTGGCTCACTTGGTTGAGCATCTGACTTAGGCTCAGGTCATGATCTCACAGTTCCTGGGTTCAAGCCCTGTGTTGGGCTCTGTGCTGACAACTCAGAGCCTGGAGCCTGCTTCGGATTCTGGGTCTCCCTCTCTCTCTGCCCTGCCCCTGTTCATGCTTTGTCTCTCTCTGTCTCTCAAAAAATAAATAAATGTAAAATAAATAAATAAATAAATAAATGATGTAGTTTAACATTTATTGAAGACCCTCTATTAGAAACCAAGCTATATATTTTATGTATGTTTTTTAATGTCGATGTCATAATCAACAGGAAGGTAGGTGTTACTTATTTCACATGTGAGGAAATGGTGGCTCAGAGAGATTAAATTATCTGTCCAGTGTTAGGCAGCAAGTGATCATGAGGGATGTGCATTCTGGTCAGTCTGACCCCAAAGCCCATACTTTTAAAACTCTACTGCATAGCTTCTTTAAAAGGTGTGTGTGTGGGGGAACTACTGAAGACTAAATCTTGCAATACTAGAATTTAAAACTTTTCAGGCAATTAAATCAAAAATACACTGTTGCTTAGATGACGAAAAGAAGGCAATAATGGATCTTCAGACCGTATCAGCTAAAACTTAAACATTTCCTAATAATCTTTCTGCCTTAACTGAAAAAAAATATCCCATTATGGGCTGTTTTGTAGCTAAAAGTTCTTGGTTAGTCGTGACTCAAATGTCCGTTAAATGCTCATGGAGGCAGGACTAAGTCTTCTGCTTTCTCTGACAGGATATTTCTTGTGAAGTGCCTCTGTTTTCTGTCCTGCTCTAGGATGGACCGTGAGCATTGGCTGAGAACACGTCCGGAAATGTGAGTTGTGTGCATCTGAGAGGCACCCACTCGTGTGTGCTCAGGAAAGCCTGTGGAGTCAACAAACTTTTCAGGACCTGGCAGAGGACCAGAGCCATCACCAGCCAGAATTAGCACTTTGGTGGTATAGATACATGAGAGACAAACAATTCTGACGTTGGTTTTAGGAGCTCTTTCCTTCACAGAAATTTCTCACAGAACAGCAAACAAAAGATACAGTATCTTCCCCTCTAGAGTGTAGAAGGTTAAGCAAAGGTAGTCTGTGCCTGACCCAGAGCTTTCATTTGAGCAAGGGATAATCTTTTTACCCAACCTTGCAAATAAATAAGCACGTAAGTTAACCAATCTGTAAAAAAAAAAAAATGAGTTTAAAAATGAGTTTGAGTTCCTAACATGAAACCACCAGCATTTCTTTACTGTATTTTCCCACCATACATTCTTACCCATGTGTGAGTGGCTATTTGCCAAGCTTCTCGTCATTGATGAGGAGAGAACTTGCATCTCTTGGACAGCCTACCACGTACCAGATGGAGTGCTTGGTGTTTTTTGTATGCGGTCTCTTCTAATCGTCACAATACTATAAAAGGTATTACTGTCTGGAAATAATTTTATAGAGGTTCAGTAACCTTCCTGAAGTCACAGAGTGAATAAGTGGCAGAATCAAGGTTGGGACCCCCTTTTGTTTTGAAGGAAAGGAAGAGATTTTCCTCAGTCCAAGGTTCTTCTAGCTGAACTAAGAATTAAATTTACAGGGGACAGACTAACAGGAGAAAAACCCAAAGCTTTACTATGTGCACATGGAGGCCCAGTAACGAAATGGAGACCTCAAGAAATGACCAAGGCAGGCAGTTTTATACTCTTTAGACACAGAGACAATAAATCTGTGAGGAATTGACGGGATGAAGAAAACCTAACTTCGGCAGCTTCAATTAGTAAAGAACACTAAACAGAATTTGGGCTGGGGTGGCAAATTAGTAAAGAGTAAAAATGGTTGTTTATACAGACTTCTTGGCTCTAAATTTCTTATCTCTGGTGACAAGGATGTTTCTACCTCTTGGTACGGGGAGGGTGTCTCTCACATGGGGGATTTATTTCTGGCAGAGGAGGATTTGAGTGTCCTTCTTACACAGACTGTCACTGAAGTGACTTTTATTTAAAACAATCAATATGCCGAAGGGCACATTTTGGGGCAGCTTGCCCTTGGCCTCTACAGTGTCCAAAGATTATTTGTGTTCTGTTATGCTGTGCACCAGGAGAGAGCTTTAGCTGTGGTTGAGTCCCCACAGATGTTCTTGCAGATTCTGTAAGCAGTCACTGGCAATCCAGTCTCCGACACAGTCTAAATGCTCCTGCAGAAATGGAGCCTTTTTTTTTTTTTAATCCCAAGTATCTAGTGCAACCTCTGGCACACAGTAGATACTCAATCCATATCTGCCAAATTGAAATTCAATTGCTCACAAGGGCTTGACTTATTTCACAATGTTTCAGCGAGGTTCCCTGGGTACATTCGAAAATCACATCTGACTTTTACTTGGAAAACCACTGAGGTCTCAATTTTGATTTCTGATTTTATGATAGAGAATATCCACAAGTGAAAAAGTGGCTTTGTATTCGGACATAGGGAAGCATTAAGGAATCAGTGAGATTCAGAATCCAATCTTAATAAGGGGACTTAAGGAGAGTATGTAGATACATACAAGGTTGATTTTGGAAAATAAGGGTGGTGTTTTTTTGTTTTCTTTCTCTTCTGTTTCCAGATGGGTTTAGGGTACTCAGTCATCCTGCCTGAACTGTTCTATTGTTCTTGATGGCTTCCAGTCCTGAAATGCGAGACCATATTTTTCACAAGTAATTACTGAATTAAGTCTGCTATGTCTTTATAATCTAAACCAGTGTACCTCATTCTCCCTCATATATGAGTTTGACAAATATGAAACAGAAAGATATCAGGAGTCAGGGGAAGTGTAGAACTGAATGGCGATAGAAATAGAACCCTCTTGCCCTAACTTGGGACTAACTGCCAAGTGATACCTTCATGGACATGGCTACTTCCGCAGCCCCAGTAGAGTGAGTCACATGGAGACCATGTCTGTATCTGTGTTTCCCCTTGAAAGTTTCCCCTCTTGAGCAGTGGACCTTTCCTGTTGAATCTGATTGGTTGGGTGGTAACATGCTAGCTGGTGAGAATCAGCATATTTTCATACGTTGATGTTTTTAAGAAATTATCTTTATTTTTAATTATTCATCGAGACATGCCAACGGATATTTAGGCCACATTTTGGGCAAAACTCACAAGGTGTTTTTTTTTCCCCAAATCTCACATGTGCACACAAAACAACACAATTTTTAGGGTTTGCTTAAAAGAACAAAGCATTAGAAATACAGTGAGACACAAGCTCATAACCAAATTCAAATCAGTGAGCAGATCTGATTTAACGTGAGAAAATTACAAAACAAATCTGTGTTCTGTAGGAAGTACTATCTGAAGACAGTGCTGCAGGACACACTCCAAATGCCTTGGCGGGAAGCTTTAAGCGAGTAGAAACAGAGCAGGATTTTTACTCAGCCTAGAGGGAGTTATGGGTAGGTCAGGGCTTCATGGACAGGGTTCTGACTATTCACGAATGCTGTTAAAGGAGAAGCAGGCTTTGACAATCAGGCCTGGCAGTGATATATATTCTCTCTTTCTTAATTTGAGCTTAACTCTATTTTGCTTACTAAAATAGCCCTTTGATTCCTTTCTTCTCAAGTAATGACAGAGTTAAACTTGGTAAGTCAACTACTGATGGTCCATGGACCAGAAGAAGAACATAAAGATAAAATCCATGGACGATCCAACAGTTGTATCTTAACTAGTAATTGAACTCCTTCTATTGAAAGAGAGCCACTAGTAGGCAAGAAAAAAAGTTTTCACATTCTCTTTCTTTTTTCTTTCTTCTTCTTCTTCTTCTTCTTTTTTTTTTTTTTTGCCAACATATGAGGAACACAAGAAAACTCCAGATGGTTGGAAGGAGGACAAAAATGCATCTAGTTTTATGCATAATGTCTCAGTTTATTTCAAAATTTTATTGTACTAGTAGCTGCTTCATAGATGTAACTGTTGGATATTTGGTAGTTTTTTTCTGTGAGCTCTTCTTCAGGACCTAATTGTAACATAGACACTTTTGTCTTATAAACTTGAAACTACTAAAAATGCCTCCAATCTTATTTAAGTTACAATATAAATATAATTTACACAAGTCCATTTCCTAAACCCACAATACAGGCCCTAGTAGCCAAAATAGTGTCTTCTTTCTTTACTGTATCATTCTCGACAATCGCCTTCCTTCACTTGATCGCCTGAACATTAAACACAGACCACTCAAAAGCCCTCTCCGCATCATCAAACCAAAGTAAGAGAGATTTGGAAGCAGGAATACATTCAACATTTTCTCTTTTGGGGCCTCACTAAGCTGAGAGCTTCAGAGGATTAAAGCAATAAAGAATCATGTGTCAGTTCGTAGTTATTACAGAAAAAAAAAAGTTAGTGTTAAGATTTCACAACTTCTCTCTTACCCATATCAACAATTTCAACTTATCATCCACCCATTTCATGAGGTTTTCACACTTTCGTTAGTACCATCTGACAATCTCTCCTACTTTAATGAAAATATAATCAATTCTCCAAAATTTCCCTTAAACTTTAACTCTGCAAACCTCAGTCTCTCTGCAGAAACTTATTACAAACCAGTCAAGTTTCTAACATTTCATTTGTATGTTAGGAGGAAAAAACCCCCACATACTTTCAGGTAGGAAATGAGAGCTGTCATTTTGTCAGCTTGCCAAACAGCTTGATGGTGGCAGAAATGATCATAATGCTCCTACTTCAACAGTATTTAAGGTAAGAGGAAAAGGACATGCCGATTTTCATCTAACATCAGTGATGCTCGAATTTTTAAGGAAAAGGTTGAATGCACAGAGTTTAGCCACTAGAGGAAGATTTTGTAACAAACTGACTTTCTGCCCAAGTATCTGGAGAAAAAAATGCCAACAAAATGCCAAGGTGACTGTGTTTGCTAGAACCGTAGTTAACCACAATGACCTGCCAGAAAGATACATTCGGTCAGAAAACTGACATAGTTTCTTTTCTTAAATAATGTTAACTCCAGCTAAACAGTTGGGTAGTTGTTCACATGAAATTAAGGAAAAAGAAAAATCCAGTTACTATGAACATCAAAAAAATGCACGCCAACCATAAACCAAAAACAGGGCTTTGGTACTGTAGCCATAACAGACAAGAGTGTGGTGGGAGAGCAGGAAATTCCCTGATGGTTAGGTGACAGGGTCATAGAAGGTTTGTGAGGCCTGCCATGTCTCCTGCGAGGCTGACACACCGCCATGGTCCAAGACCAGAGTCATATAAATGCACGCTAATCAGCTGGCTTGTTAAAACAGAGTGTGCAACATCGCTGTGTTGAAAAGTGACTTCAGGCTTGTTGAAACGTCTCATTAATCTGAGGAAACGATGCTTGGTGCCACAGATTAAACACTATGGTCTCAAGCGGAATGCATGTGAAGTTTCCAAAACATTTCCTCAAAGGCTTTATTCAGTTTTGGTTTGTGACCTTAGCTGGAAAGCAGAAAGATGGACATGGGAAGGCAGTTCGGAGGGATATCTGTGAGGATTTTAGTTGGGCAGCTTTCAGAAGATGAAAGATGTTTAAAGTTAAGGCCTTTTTCTTCAAACAATTGTATATTAATAAACTCTATATCCTATTTACAAACGCATTCTCTCGTATTAAAACCAACAGTATTCTGTTCACAGTGCCATTGTTTATACAGGTAGCAATCCCATAATACTCATGTATTTTGGCATGGGAATCAGTAGCGCTTGGTATTTACAGAAAATGTACATGTGTGCATATAAACATGTCACTGAATCTGAGTTATTGATAAAAGATTGGCTAACGGTGCAAAGGAATGAACTGTCCAGCACCTTCCCCTCGGATGGGATGGGAAACGTGGTTTCTTACACTGAGGAGATGCCGATTCTCTGACCCAAAGTGGCATAAAGTCAGTAACAAAAAACAATGAACCCCCTGTTCGAGTTTGGGTACATTGAGTAATCTTTTAGTCCAAAGTTTTAGATCCATGGTCTAGTGCATCAAATAGAAAAGTTAAAAAGATTTATTATTATTTTTATAATAAGAATTATTATTAAAATAGAAGGTACTTTCTCTCACGCTCTGGTTTGTGCTCTCGCACCCAGACCCATCTCCTTGGAGTTCCAAATATGCTGGTGTGTTTGTCCCGCAAATCAGCAGTCAGATGGCTAACGCTAAAATGCTCTGGCCTTAGCGACGGTCGCCTGTCACAATGGGACCCAGGGCCCGAGGGGAACACGGCAGAGGCACCTCTTTCTTGCTCCCCAGTCTTCTCCGGGAGGGGCAAGCCTGCCCCTAGAATCAGCTCCCACGTTCCTAAATGGAGTTGCTTTATTTCGGCAGCTAGTGCTGAGATGACGGATGGCTTCTGTACACTCGGAAAGAGGAGAGGAGGCAGGTAAGTAGAGGGGGTAGCGTTCCAAAGAGCCCCAGGACGCAAGCCACAAGGTGGCTGGGCTGATTGGCAGGAACCCCCTCCGAGCTTTCACCCTGTCAGGAGGCGTCTGCTCAGGGAGGTTCTCCTTCTCCGTGTGCAGAGCAGGGGCAGGCCGGCCGGGGCTACGGGGCGTCGCCTTTGGTCACAGTCTGCTCCTCGTTCTCAGTCCCTTGGCCGGCATGGTCCGGGCCGCCACCGGCGCCACTGCTGCTCCTGTGCTGTGTGGGCAAGAGGCTCTTCCACTGGGCTTTGTTGTGTGAGAGGTGGCTTAGCATGTTCTCCGACAGGGTGCTGTTTCCAGTGAAGCGGGCCCATTCCCGGAAAAGTGGCTCCACGATGTAGGTCATGAAACCTAGAACAGGCAAGGCCAAGCTCAGCTCCATAAAGGCGGTAAAACCCACATCTTCTTCTGGCCCAAACACAATGGGGACCCCGCTCTGTCTGTGACCCAGAGAAGTGAAGGCGAAGAAAAAAGATGAGGCGACCCCTACCCTCAGGTTAGGAGCACCAGATATGTCACCTTGGGCTTGTTTCTTAACCCCCTGAGCCTCAGTTTCCTCATTTGTAAGAAGGAGCTAGGAAGAGTACCAAACCCACCGGGCTGTTATGACAATGAAATAACATAGGTGAAAGGCTTAGAAAGTTCCTGGAGCACAGTAAACCCTCAATAAATAGTGGCTATTGTTATTTGCTGAGGGAGAAAGACACATAAACAGGAAAGTAGGAAAAAGTCTGTGTTGGAGCTAAAGAGGGGGGTGGGGAAGGGGAGGAAAGGGCAAAGGCTAGCACAGCATTGACTTTGACCGTTTGAAGAATTCATGTTTACCCTGTAGGATATTTTTTCAAGAATATTGATTTATAGTTTTTCTTACTATCAATCATATTAACCACTAAATGTAGGTAAATAAAAGTTCATTCATCTTTAATACCTGCATAACATCCCTACTTTAATGACCAGATAAGATTGTTGATATTAGCTATGTCTCTTCTCTTAATTAGTTTAGACTTGTTGCTTTCTAATCATGTTTCAATGTTAATGTGCTTTCCATATGAAACAAGATTTATTAAAGCAGAGAAGGACTTTCAGTCTAGGCTGGAATTGTTGGAATCATCACAAACTTGGACATATTGAGGACATATACAGGTGTGGGGAGAAAAAGCAAGTGTTTTCCAGCATAACAGATTTCCCAACAACCGACCGTGTATGTTTACAAGGGTGTGAATTATAAAGGCTTGATTTGATTATCTTTTTATTGAACAAAAAGCAGATACTTGGCGTTTGCGGATGCTATAGAGATGGAGAATGGATGCAGCAACGCAAAATGTTGTTTTACATTTTCTCCATTATCTCATCTTAAACATGATTTAAATATTATGATATCATGTTAGATAATCCAAACCCGTGGAGGAAGTTTAAGCCAGTGACTTCTGTAGTTTGATAAGGTATACAGTGAGTCAGCAAGTAAGGATTTCCTTCTTAAGTTCTCTTATTTCCTATTCCTAAATTGTCTTCGTTTTCTTCACTACCTCTATATTTAATTTCAAATGTCTTCTACCTTAAGTGAGATTAGATATTAGATATTAAAGATAGTTCACAAAATTATGCTATTCTAAGGTTTAAAGTGTAAATATTTATAAAATGTACCTTAACATAAAAGAGCTACAAATCCAACATTTAAAAATCTGGTACTTGAACACTGACTCATTTTCTTCCTGAAGTTACTTTGCAATTATACCTCTGGATTTCTACATGTCCAGTTTATTTTATTTTTTTTTAATTGTTTAACTTTTTTTTTTTTTTCTGAGAGAGAAAGAGAGAGAGAGAGAGAGCGTGAGCAGGGGAGGGTCAGAGAGAGAGGGAGACAGAATCTGAAGCAGGCTCCAGGCTAGCTGTCAGCACAGAGCCCGACGCGGGGCTTGGGCCCACAAACCGTGAGATCATGACCTAAGCCGAAGTCGGAGGCTTAACTGACTGAGCCACCCAGGCGCCCCTCTACATGTCCAGTTTAAAGACCTCTTATAGCAGATAGGAAAGCCATTCTGAAGCTTGAATAGACACCAGAGGCAGTTCTTCAAATGAAAGATGGCTTCTGCATGATTAGATTTGGGAACCTGTTCCATCAGTTCCCAGTGCATTGTGCCCACCTCTCTCTTCTATGTAAGCGATGGACTGACTTGGCCTGGATTTTGTCCTCCTGGAGGGTCAGAACTGGGGGAAGTGAGAAATGATGGCCTCAGAGTAAATAGGGATTGAAGGCAAGCCTCTTTCTCTTCCTTCTTCTATAGATTTCACCAATTAGAGGTTCATTTGATTTACTATCTTCTTTTTAAAATGCAGAATTCGATGGAGAGAGGGAAAGAGATTTTAAATCCCACTTCCTCTTGGGTTAATATGAATTACTTAAACAGAAAATCAGATCTGAAGCTGAAATGGCGCTTAGGAAATTCTCACTGTGGATTGAGACAGGTAAAATTCTCACTATGGTGGGGACAGTTTTAGTCCCAGGGGAATCAGGGCAGAGGAAAGAGCTGCATTACTTAAGACCTGCTGGCAAAATCCTTGTCTGGGAGGCTGAAGCCTAGAGCTCCCATTAGACTCTGTCTATCTATTTGGATTTTTTCCAGTTTAGCCTCATATGCCCTCCCTTCCCCCCACACACACCATGCCTGCCAACACTGACCCTACAGAGCTGGGAGGTGTGGAACAGAGACAGAGAAAGATTTATGTAGGATGGTGGTTTTATAATTACCTTCTCTTATTATTGCTGTGCTAATGTAACATCCATGAGATTTTCCTATTCAGCCAATCCCCACCCCATTTTAAAAACAGGTATCTATGGTAACCACATTTTCCTGTGCTGAAAACCAGGACATAGGATCTGACAAAATAAGTGTGTTCTCATGACAACAACAGGGTAGAATCTCTAAAATCAGGTCTGTCTTGCGAATCCAGGTTGCGTGCTTAACAATGCAAATAGTTTTCACAAAACGTCTTTAGCAGGAGCCTGGCAAATTTCTTTCTAGCCAGAGCTTAACAAACGTGGCCGCAGGGTTAGGATTTTGGACAAAGTCTAGTCCTTTCCGATCACATCTGAAGAACCTCCATAATAAAGGAAGTGGAGGGGAGGCTGATTCCCCTCCCCCCACTGCCCCAGCAATTCTGTAGCTATGTTATCACCCTGGATTCATCCTGGGTTTTGTTTTTTCTAACACTCCCACCCTTTCCTTGTTTGTTTGTTTGTTTGTTTGTTTTTTAGGAGGGTGGAAGAATCAATTTAATTGTAAAAACAACATAACAATACTAAGGGCAATTTGGAAAAAGGGATAGATCACCGATAATCCCCAAATTTCAACGTATCTATTTTAATATTTGCATATGTCATTCAAATCTTTGTAACCAGATTAATTTTGTTTCTATTTCCTGAGGATGACTCTATGACTCTTTTTGTGGATTAGATTTGACCCTTAGTGATTATAAGCATATCATTACTTGACTAACTTGCTCTGGTTTTCTTAATTTTCAGCTTATTTTTTCTGATGCCCCATTCCCTCCTAAGTAGAGGATATAAGCCTTAAGCCTTACAGAGGTCTGCAGCACTGTGAATATTAATCTCTCTGAGGTCTGGGGGAACTGGTGAAAAACAAGGACTCGTACATGTCATGGCTATAGTTTATGGGTAAAAGTTAAAGTTCTGAGTTTGGTTTCAATTGGAAAGAACTGCAAGGAAAAGATTTGCTTTGAATGTAGATGGAATTGGTAGACTGGTTTAAGAACTGATAGAAATTCTTACTGGATCAAAAATATTTCCTGTGTGCCTAAAATTTCCACAGTTCGATTTGTTTAATGATCTGATGCATAACTTAAAGCAATAATTATTTTAGATGCATTAGCATCACAATTTAACAGTATACTGCAATTGACACTCGAGAATAAGGCTGAAAATAAGTGTTGGAAGTGGGGGAGTCAAGAAGTGTGGGCCCCCGAGCCACAAGGGATGGCATAGCTTGCAGAGCACGAGCCCTTGGGATTGCACTGGGGATGAAGGGTGGTGAGCCAGATTGAAAGGGTCCTAAAGGCTGATTCTGCCTACTTTCTGCTCTTCAAGTTCCAAAGAGAGTGTGAACTAACCTGTTCTTCAGCAGCTAATAGATGATGTTTGTTAGTTTCCTGCTACTCTATTTGGTTTTGATTTGATTTTTGAACTGCAAAGCTAATACAGGCTAGTTAAGGGTCTATAACAAAGCCGTTACGTGATTTTTCATAATTTTCCAGTTGGTAATTATAATTACCTAGATTAGTCATGGTTAGAGTGTTTATTTGGATTCAGCCATTCATTAAACCTCTAGTTTGGATCTTTCAAAAGCTGGGTGTAGCTTTTCTTTTCTTTGTGACGTGGAAGAGGTGCCAAAAGTATTAAAATTAAAACTGAATTCAACTCACCAATTTGTATACTAGGAATGGAATCTTTCTGTTGATTACATAGTGGACTGATTTCCAGTTCAAATTTCTGCTCAAGGTCACCTAAGAAGAAATAAGAAGAAATATTGGTAATCTAGAATTTGTAAAAAATGAATGTTGCTAGTTTTTTTAAAAAAATTTCTGAGAGACTGAGAGAGAGAGAAAGAGAGAGAGAGACAACATGAGCAGGGGAGGGCCAGAGAGAGAGGGAAACACAGAATCGGAAGCAGACTCCAGGCTCTGAGCTGTCAGCACAGAGCCCGAAACGGGGCTTGAACCCAAGAATGGTGAGATCATGACCTGAGCTGATCTTAACTGATTGAGCCACCCAGACGCCCCTGAATGTTGCTAGTTTTAACCATCTGGTTGGAAGAAGTTATTCTGAGAATTACCATTCACTGCTTTGTTCTCACTAGGAGCCCCCAGCACCCACTTGCTCTGCCTTGCTCTCATAGTTTCCATAAAAAGTTAAAATGTCAGAGAGTCAATGACCATTTACAATAGGTTCATTGTAAATAGGTATGCTCTGGGACTAGAATAAACTTTGACCAAGATATATAAAAACAAATATACAAGTAATGAGCAATTTCCTGCATGAAATGGAAATTCTGGCTTTTAAGTTACAGGTTAAGAGAACAGATTTTATGCTACCCCTGCCTTTCACTCTGCCTGACCTTAGTCTGATTTCCTCTGAACAACCAGGAATAGTAAGTAGATAGGAAACAGAGGAGAGGGACTAGAGAATCTCAACTGAGGAACATCCTAGTTTGTAGCTACGAAGTTAATCAGAAATAAAGATTTTTTAAAATTTAAGTTCACGTCAGTTAAAACATAAGGTAGTGTCGGTTTCAAGAGTAGATTTTATTTTCATTTATTTAAAAAAATTTTTTTAATGTTTGTTTTTGAGAGAGAGAGAGAGGGAGAGAGAGAAAGAGAGAGAGAGAGAGACAGCGTATGAGCAGGGGAGGGGCGGGGGAGGGGGGGGTGGAGACACAGAAGGAAGTAGGTTCCAAAACCCACCGTGAGATCATGACCTGAGCTGAAGTCAGATGCTTAACTTACTGAGCCACTGAAGTGCCCCAGGAGAAGATTTTAGTAATTCATCACTTATATATAACACTAGTGCTCATCCCAAAAAGTGCCCTCCTTAATGCCCATCACCCAGTTAGCCCATCCCCCAACCACCCCTCTCCTCCAGCAACCCTCAGTTTGTTCTCTATATTTAAGAGTCTCTTAATGGTTTGCTTCCCTCTCTGTTTTCATCTTATTTTCTTTTTTCCTCCCCTTCCCCTATGTTCATCTGTTTTACTTCTTAAAAGTTTCTTAACTTTTATTCTGACTTAGTTTCACCTAATGTAACTAAGTTTTTTAAAAAGTATAAAAATCGGACAAATATTTATTTTTAATGCCTTTGTCAGCTAGAAGACCAAAGGAAAAATGTACCATGTAAAGCTTTATCAGAATACTTTATCAGTCCTGCATGGGAAGAACAATTATGGGTAAGTTTTGCATTGGGAAAACAGTCTGGTTAATCAGTAGAGAAGCTAGCCCTCAGAAACATTAGCTGAGTTCACAGTTGTGAACATATACCTCTAAACTACAGGAGATATAAATGTAACATTTATATCATGCTTCCTATGTGCCAGGCACTATGCTGAGCATTCTACATATGTTAATTTAATCCTCATAACAACTTCATTATAATACGCACTTTACAGATGAAGAAATTAAGATGAGAGGAAGTTAGGGATTTTCACTCAAGTCATATTGCTAGTAAAGCCGGGAACCTGGATTTCAACCTACGAAGTCTGGCTCCAATGTGCCTGCACATAACCGCTGAGCTAGAACTTAAGAGATGCCACACATCTGTCATTGCTCTAAGATTGTATACATGCCTCCCATGGTCCCCTGGGGCCTGGTTATTCTCAAGACTGCTGTGAGGAAATCTCTCTGGCTGAACCTGAGGAATTCGGGAAAGCCAGATGATAATAGTCTTCTGAGAACAGGGCATGATGCCATTTAATATTAAAATGAGTTCTAATATGAAAATGGGTTCTACTCCTTACCTCCATAATTCTGTTGTGATTTTTCAGTCAAGCTTGACACTTTGGAGGAATCATCTTTGATTTCTCCCTTGCCTTCTCCCTCCATACTGAGGCATCAAATCCTGTTTATTCCTTTCTTGGAATATCTTTTTTCCATACTTATAGTTTGCCTGACTCCAGTCTGGCTTATTAATAGCTCATTTTTAGTTTTTGGTTCTTAGCTAGTTTCCCTTCTTCAGTATTTCTTCTACTTCATTTAATATGTTCCCTAAGATGCCTCTCATTGTCATGTTCTGTCCTTGAGCCTGGTTTACAGGGGCCTCCACAAATCCACACATTCTCACTTTCCATGGATCCAAGTTGCTCTATGAAGCAGGTACCCTTTTCAGGGCCTTTGTCCATTTCAACCCCTCCTTATGTAGACCAGCAATGTCCCATGGGACTTTCTGTAATGATGGAAATGTTCTCTGCACTGCCCACTATAGTTGCTTTTTGCAATATGATCAATAAAACTAAGAACTAAAATTTTAATTTAATTAAATTTAATTAATGTAAAAATTTCTAGTCACACATACTTCATGACTATCCTGTTGGAAAATACAGTGCACTACACATCCTTCAGTACCCAATTCAGATTCTACCTTCATCAGCACTAGATCTTCTCCTGTGACCTCCACCATTAGAGATCAATCAATTAGATAATTTATTCATTAACTTATTCAACATATACTTATAAAGCACTGTGTATTTCAGATTCTTTGTTAATCAATGTAGAGAAGGCAAAGGGGAAAATTGCATAACTTTGCTCTTTCAGGACATTTACTGCCTAGTATTTTGAGGTTATTAAACATTAACTATAATTCTTTGTATCCTCAGACCACCTCAATAGGGCCTTGCACATAGGGAAATTAACAGTCTTGCTAAAGTTTAGACAAGGATGGAAGCAGATGTTCAATAAAAACTTGTGCAAATCTTGGTGGATTGAGAAGGTATCATTTGATAGTTACAAAGAATAGAGATTCTACTTCCTTGAAACACTGAGAGTAGGGGGTCAAATGATGTACAGAATCCTAATCTCTCCTCTCAGAATTTAATGCTATTTTCTTAATTTATGGAATTTCATCTTCCTTTCTGCTATGTCCTCAACCTTGATTTTAAAGGTTTTCCTTTGTTCAACATCATGAACCACTGAAGATACTTTGGCCAAGACTATGAGCAGTCTGTGGAAACCCAAATCCTAAACTGAAAACCGGAATCAGATTAATCAAAATGATGCGAATCATGGTTATAGGATTACAAAAATTAATTCACTATAGAGGATAGGCAGTTTAGATGACCAGAGAGTATGGTCTTCCTCTTTCTAAACAGACATAACTTCTGCTCAACTATAATGCTATTAAATAAAAAGGACCTGACATAACCCTTTTGTATTCCTTTCTCTGCCTGGAGACATGCGGGAGCAAAGTGCTTGGTAGCTCACCTTTTGTGGTCAGAGTTACAAATGTTCTAGGTTGTTCCATCTTACAATGCTGCACGTGCATATATTATTAGGACAACACGTGGTTTTGGTAAGAGCTTATGGATTACCTTTCTTTGGTCCCATTTACTCCACATAGTAACTTCAACTCCATGGGTCTTATTTTCTACACAAGTGACATGGCTCGTTTCTCAAGTTGCTCATAATCCAAATAGGTTGCAAGATAAGCAAATGAAAGGGTTAACCTGCCATCAGTGCCAACAGGGGCACATGGCTGAGTTGAAACCCAAAGGGACATAGCAGAATCTCTTTTCTGTCCCATTGTTTGATTTCCAAACATGAAGAGCTTAGCCCTTCTCTCATGTTGCTATTTCAATATGTTCTATGTCACAGAGTAAAGAAAATACTTATCTAATCTAAACCTCTTGTTCCAATTTCATCATCTTTTCTTTTGTTTTCTCTCAGTGCAGATTTTATATCATAGGCAACTAGAACTGATCTTTTGACTTCTAACCACTTACACTCAACTGAAATGAAATTACACAGAGTCGTGGGCACTTCATGAGCGCTTTTTCTCTGAGCGAAAGAGACGGTGAGCGGAGCCTTCTGGCCCCACATGAACCCAATCCGTTTTGCTTTGTCTTGTGTCTTTGGGACCATCTCAATGTCACTGACACATCTTTTGATGGAAGCTTCTCCAAAAGGCTCACTGTTGCTACTTGACCTCCCCATGGAGCTGGTATGTGGGACACTTCAGGCTCTATTTGTTCTCAGCCTCTCAAACCTGATCCTGTCACTAACATCAGGGCACTTTTGTGCCTGAACAAACATCCTGAGCACTGAAACCAAGCCTGAAGAAACAAGGCTGGGTTTAAAGGCCGATATTCCACCCAGTGTCAAGGTCCCATTGACTAATTCACTGCTTTATTCCTGAATGAGGTTAATCTCTCAAAAATTATACCCTAACTTGGGGCCATTTCTCCTCTCACTGAATATGTTTGAGATGAGCTCAATTCTTGGTTAGCTGTGCTCCACTGCATTATTAACTTTAAGAAAGCCAGGGGAAGAGCTAGAGACGGAGCCTGAGTCCTGTTCTGTCAGAGTGGAGAGTGGAAAACATTGACCCCAAATGGCACTTAGCCTTTGGGCTGTGCTAAGCTCATTAAAATGAAGGTCAGAGTAAAAATCAAGTTGTTCCTTACATTCTTATATCCACAGAGGAAAGCTATTGAGAAATTACACACACACACACACACACACACACACATTTATCTCCCACTTTTGCTCATTTTTATCACACCTCTTTACTACCTGTTTTCATAGTAAGACAGTGTTATTTATTTTTAAACTATTTCCAAAAAAAGTCTGGATGGTTTGCAAGAGAGTTGAAGAGAAAGGTTAGGATAATAAGAGTTGATGAAAGAACAAATGTCATGATAGATTAGCCATTTCCTGTTTTATTAGGATAAACGCTTAAAAGGAAGAGGGGCCATGAAAACTCAGCTGTCAGATCACTACTAACCTTGCCTGTAGAATTCTTCACAGACCCTTTCACTCCACTGCTTGCTCATCTCCCAAATCCTACAAGGATTGCAAATGTCAGCACACTTCAAGGCGATCTGAGAAATGACAGGGCAGGGAGAGATGGTCAGAGGATGATCCTTCAGCAGCAAACGTACCCAAAGCCCAAGGGGCAGTCCAACTGGCCAGTGTGCCTCAGGTACCAGCCCGTGGTTACAGAACACCTCTTCAGGAAACAGCACTTATTTACTGCCACACAAAACCTTCATTCAGAATTCCCACTTGTGAGAAGGAGAGAAAAGCCACCGTCCAAGGACACGGAGCTTCCTGGAGGAGGCCTGGCGTGGGTAGGCCAAGGAAAGCCGTGGCCTGGCTCCTTCTACTGCCCCACCCTTCGCGGGCTGCGAAGCCGCAGGGGCCCCTGCCAGGCTCAAGTGAGATCATTTGGACCTCAATCTCACAGTGGCCACATTGACAGACTCCAGGTATCGCTTCAGTTTATTTGCACTCCCATGCCCGTGTCTGTGTCTAAGCAAGCTAACACTGCCGTCTAAGGAGCCAAGTCCTATCAAACCTTGGAGTGTGTTGTTTGCAAAGCTAATTCAAAGCTTACCGCACACTGGACTGGATCAGGGAGGCCAGCTCTTGTCAATAATGCTGACCCTAAGAGGGTTACCATGAATTCCCAGACTAGTAGATTCTCACCCTTCCGCACCAACCACTGAGACGGGCTCCTGGTAGCGTGCCCTGCCCACCAGCAGTGCCTATTTGTTTTGAGCCAGTTCCCTGGCATCACAGAGTCACTGGCAGTGCTGGCATCTGGGAAAGCCCCAATCCTATTAATTTACACATTTGATTGTTTCTTGATTTCCTGGTTAACAGGGACACCAGGACCTATTAGAGTAAGAAAAGGGCAGAAGCTTGCCCCAGGTTCCGCCCTTGGGGAATTCATTTACAATTCATTTGCATTAGCAAACTTTCCCTTTGGAATGCAAATGTTCAGCCCACATCTTTCAGCGACTCCCAACTTGGCTGGAGTCAGGAAAACCAGATACCTGGTTGATCTTTTGTGAGACTCGGGGACTAAAGACTAGTTGGGAAAAAAAGAAGGGGGGGATGTAGTTCTATAACTGGGAGGGAGGTATTTCCTGAGAAGTAAGGAGCACTTTGGACAACTGCAGGGGGCATCACGAAAGCATGGAACGAAAAATACTGTTCACTTCAGTCTGCCATGTGCGGTTCAGTTTCCCTGGTCAAAGATGGTCTATGTAGGTGAATCCAGGGTCCGTCCATCCAGTCTTTTGTGACGAGAGGAAAGAAGGAAGGCAAGAGAAAATAGAAGATCAAGAAAATGGCTCTGGTTTGGACACCAGGTCCGACTTCCAGTTCTGAGATCCATTTGTCCTCTCTCTCTTTTGCCACAAATGGCCTCTTGGCGTGGAATGAAGCATAAAGTGTTGGGCCTGATATGATTCGTTTCATTCAATTATTGGTTGAATTTTATTTCAACCAATAGTTTATTTCAACCGTAGTTTATTCATTGGTGTCTAAAAATGGTCAGACTAGGTAAACATGCTTGTGAGAATATGAGTTTAGGTAGTAACAGGAAGTAAGGCAAGATTTGATTAAATAGGTTTTTACATGAAGGAAGGGCTACTTGTTTTTCAGTTTTTGTTCGTACCATTGTTAACAATATATTTTTCTGTTACAGTAACAGTGTTTCTAAATCTCACAGGTATGACAGTGGTCAATTTTACATCAAGGCACAAAATATGGTAGATTCTTACTACATACAATTGCCCATCAGGGGCAAGCAGAGCCCCTCCCACTTCGTGGGGCAGCAGTTACCAGATAAGGAAAAGTGAGATACTATCAACTTACTGACACGAAGCCCAGATTTTGCTTCTTGGAAACCACTTAACAATTTCATGTTTCAGAGCTTTTAATAAAGTAGGTCACTGCTCTAACTTCTACCATGGGGGATACTCCATCTCACATGTGCTGACATTATCGACCACGTCCCCAAGTGCTTTTACTCAGCAAGGGTAATGGTCTTCGTTGTTGCTGTTGTTGTTGTTTACCTGGAGCATAAAGTGCCTGTCGTGTACATCCTCCAGTCTTAAGTCTTCATTGTGGAGGTGAGCTTTCAATCTGGTCAAAAATTCATTCTGCCTGTTGATGTCTGTTGCCAAGATCAAGGAGCCCAGTTGCTGTTCAATATCCTGTCTGCATCCACAAGAGGGAAAGAGAAAACACATACACAAAGCAAATACTTTTGAGGTAGGTGATTGATTCTGTCACCATCAGGTAGTTTATAATCTCATTTCTGCCTTTGATTCTGTTTGTTACTCTGAGCCCAGTCCCTCTGAGCCCAGGGGCGAGTCTCTCATCCACCATCACTTCTGTCTCTGGACAGGAAGTATGCTAATAACTGTAGAGAGTGATGGAAACTGTCAGTGAACAAAGTTGTGATAGTTTACACGTTGCCACGGTAACTGTGGGTCTAAAAACTGCAAACCAACTAGAAACGCATGCCTTAACTAGGATACAAAAAGACTGACAGAATCAGAGGAGTTTGGGTTGTACTTTTAAAGAGTTGAAACCAGCTCAAACATCAGATTTGCATGGAGAGAGAAAGGGCATAATAATTAGTAATAATAAGGAAGATAATAATAGTGACTGATACTATATGGTATTGAAAGATCCATCAATTGAACAAAACAGACTGGAGAAAGATACTGGAACTTAAAAAAAAATACTAGGTAATTAAGACACTATTAAAAACCAATGGGCAAGCCATATATTAGTTGATAAGTGGTATATAAGGAAAATAAGATAGTTTGGAAACATAAGCAAATTAAAGCTTTACCTCATGGACAGAAAGTAATCAGTGGAAGACAAGATCCATAACAGTTTTAAAAATTAATCTTTAAAATTAAATATGTTTAGGTTTGTATATAACATTTTCTGCATTTAGCAGTTGATGGTTGCTTAAGTTTGAACCCATTCTTTACTTCCCTGCTCCCCATGTTTTTAGGCATATGGGTCTTACTTTACATCCTTTTACTTTGTGGAGTGCGTTGAGCACACAGAGTTTAATGAATAGGTATAAAGTATATATCTGTAATCACCATCCACGTTGAGAACATGAATGAAAAGGCAACTGTATGCAAGTACTGGCCACTGCACTTCCCACCACATCCCTTTTCTTACTCTTGCATCACAATTATTTTCCTACAAAAGTGATTTCTAACAGTGCATCCCATAAAGACATAACAAGTATGGTATTTTATTTGGGATCTATAGGATGTGTAGGAGTATCTCAGGAGAGGAGTATAGCTGAGCAGGCAGCAGGGTTAATGCATGTAATACAGAGACAAGTCTGGTCCTGAGTTCTTCCCTCCCGTTTTCCTTCAGTTTTGTTCTTCCCTGGATGCCCTCTCTCCTTCTTTCTCTTCTCTTCTTTCTTTCTTTAGATGTCCCTGCCATGTACCTCCTTCTCCTTTTTTCCCCTTCTAACTTGATTGCTTATTTAAGTTTTAAGTTCTTATTTTATTTTATTTTATTTTTGAGAGAGAGAGAGTGCAAGCAGGAGAGGGGCAGAGAGGAGAGACAGAATCCCAAGCCCGATGCATGGCTCAGACTCAGGAACTGTGAGACCATGACCTGAGCTGAGATAAAGAGTCAGACACTCAACTGACTGTGCCACCCAGGCACCCCCAGTTTTTAGTTCTTTTGCATTTAATTCTTTTGATCTTTGCAAGTGCTCTAGCAAAAAGAACGGGATTTTATTCCATGCATGAGGATTGGTTTTATTTCATTCCAAGAGGTAAAAAGCTATCAGAACTGAAGTTCTTCCTGCAAATTCCACATTCCTCTGGGTGCTAGGAAACAGCACCAGATAGTATCACAGGGCCAGGAATAAGCAGGAGCCTAGAGCCTACTGTCTGCTCTATAGAGATGCCACTTGGCACTTGACTTTAAGTTATGCTCCCTTTGCAATTCTTCAGAAAGAAGGGTACAGGGATCTATCTACTCTTTTAACTATCTTGGGCCCTGTGCATTTAATTTAACAAATCAGAATTAGGAGTGACCTTGGAAGATGTTACAGCAGCTAACTAGGGACCATGTGGAAAATGAGGTAATGGCTTTGGATTTGGTAGGGCTTGGCCTAAATACCTGGGCTAACAAACAGTGGACCAGGAAACTAGTATTTCCCCTTCTGTTTAAAATGTAACAGGCAGAGGCAAATTAATGGCCAAAACAATGGCTGGGGCCAATTCAGTGACTTAACAAAAGACATTTCAGGGAAGAATTTCCGACTTCTCTTTTGGCTAAGATTGGCAGTTACAAAACAAACTTGATTGAAGTAGTCTTAAATCTAGCTTGAGATTTCCTGCGTTCTTTCTTGATAAATATTTATTATTTGGATCTTCACGGGAGGACAATTTTGCTAACACAAAAGACAGGAATTTGACAAAGCAGAGCATTGACACTGAAGAGTGTGAAAGCTGAGAGCTGTTTTTTTATCCTTTTTCCTGATGTCAAGTCATAGACTATCCAAGGCCCGTTCAAAGCGCAGGGAGAGATGTGGATTCTCGGCTGCTGTAACTGACACTGAGTCTCCTCTGACCAACGACCAAGCATAGGCAGGAAGCACAGCCGGCTGGCTCCCTGCCATCAACCCTGGAGTCCCAAGCATGCCCTAGAGAAAGCAGCTTATCTCCAACGTGTGGACATCAGTATGTTTCATCTCTACGCCACTTACGTCATTTCCTTTGGCAAGTGAGCAAGAAGCCTTGATTCTCGAAGCATGCCGATTGTAGATCGCCAGTGGTGATTCTCCAGCACAGACATATTCTAGAAAGAAAGAAAATTAAAGCTATAAATGAGAGAGAAGTCAGATTCTGATCTTTCACACTGAACACAGTTTCACTGAGTATTTTCCCTTCAGCCAGTTGATATCTGCTGACAAAGAGGCAGACGAGAAAAGAAACATGAAATAAAATAACCACAAGGCCTATCATGATGGTGGGATGGTGACAAGGCTGGCCCTTGTGACCCTCCATTGGAGGACTGAATGAGAGTCTATTTCTAGTGTCATTCTCCCTTGCCAATGCCCCCATTTCGGGTAGCTAGGTCAGGCAGCACTCAATGTAGAAGAAAAAAGTGAAGCAGGTAAAAATAGGTAGCAATGGATCCCATGTGGATATATATAACACATAATCCAAGATTATACTACTCAGCTGAACAAAGGCAGGTCCCACAACCTCTGCTCTGATTGACTACACTGACCATTACTTCTTTCTTTTTAAAAAGTTATTTATTTATTTTGAGAGAGAGAGAGAGAGAGCAGAGGAGGGACAGGGACAGAGAGAGAGAATCCAAGGCAAGCTCCGTGCTGTCAGCACAGAGCTGGATGTGGGGCTCGATCTCACAAACTGTGAGATAATGACCTGAGCTGAAACCAAGAGTTGGACACTTAACCAACTGAGCCACCCAGGTGCCCCTGACCATTGTTTCTTAATACTGATAAGAACCTTCTGTGTCTGAACCACCTGGAAAGCTGGTAACATACTCAGGTTTCTAAGGCTGGGTCAATTCAGTTTTGATTTGGTAGGTTTGTGGGAAGTAATTTTTATGTCAACTCAAGTTTGAGAATCACTGCTATCAATAACCAGTATATTGACATGTAGCCTATTAGGTCTGAGTTTGAATCCACAATTACTTCCTTATTCAATTAATTTGATATTTCTTCCCTTATGGGAACCTTTACTATGTTCCATCTCTCCTCTGACTTTATTACTATCTTACATATGCTGCTGTGTACACATTAGCTAGCTGTTTAAATAATGTCTATTTCTTACAATCCATTGTGCTTTATTCTAATAGATAAATATAGAATAGAACCTCTTTAGTCCCCAAGAAATATTTTTGCTCTATTTTCTTATTTGTTTATTTATTCATGTTCCATTTTCTTCATATGGGGTTATACACTTAAACAAAATAGAGGAAGATCAATTCATTAAAAATGAGGGGGTATTGGGGCTCCTGGTATCTCAGTCAGTTGAGCAACTGACTTTGGTTCAGGTCATGATCTCATGGTTCATGGGTTCGAGCTCTGCGTTGGGCTCTGTGTATAGCTCAGAACCTGGAGCCTGCTTCAGAGTCTGTGTCTCCCTCTCTCTCTGCCCCTCCCCTGCTCACACTCTGTTTCTCTCAAAAATAAAAACATTAAAAAAATAAGTAAAAATGAGGGTGTATTATATGATTTTGCTTACCTGAGGTACTCAGAGTCAAATTCATAAAGACAGAAAGAAGAGTGGTTGCCAGGGGCTGGGGTAATAGGGAGTTTCAGTTTTGCAAGATGAAAAGAATTCTAGAGATGATGGTGGCAATGTACTTAATGCCATTGACTTGTACACTTAGAAATGGTGGGCCTCCTGGGTGGCTCAGTTGGTTAGGCACCCAACTCTTGATTTTAGCTCAGGTCATGATCTCATGGCTTGTGGGATCAAGCCCTGCATTGGGTTCTTCGTGGACAGCATGGAGCCTGCTCGGGATTCTCTTTCCCTCTCTCTCTGCCCCTCCCTACCTCTCACTCTCTCTCTCAAAATAAATAAATAAATAAACATTTAAAAAATGGTTAAGATGGTGAACTTTGTATTATGTTTGTTTTGCCACAATTAATAAAAGTGAGAGGAAAGAAGCATGGGGCCAGGAGAGAGATGGGGAACTATTCTATTATTATGACCCCCATCCTACCCCCTTATTATACCTGAGCCACCCATATAATGCTCAACTTCTTCAGCAAATGAGAACAGACAACCATCATGAGTGATACAGTCTAGGACCCATTAGGAAAAAGCAAGTTCAAGAAAACGTCAACTATTCTTGGTTCTAAAACCAGAAAATGGTTTCTCTCCAGGACTTTGTAGAATGGGTTTCATGAGCCAGAGTCTTATATCAAACCTCTGCATAGGCTGTTCTATTGCTCTTTGTTTCTCTCCTTGCCAAGAAGTTATTATTCTTCATTCACCACTTGACTATGTTTGAAGCAGTGATGAGATTTTGTCCTTTTATCAACTGGTCTATTATCTCCTTTTGGGCATGAGCCACATACAACAAAAGAGAATGTTTATTATAAATAACATGCCAGACTAATTTGTTTTGATCGTGAAGATTTATGAGAGCAAAGAGTGATAGGTTAGTGTGATGTAATGGATGTTGGATCCTGCTGTGACATTTAGTTCAGTCACTCATAAGCACTTACTTGCAAGACTAATTCTTGTAGATGTGGACATGAGTGTGGGTTTTTCAAGGGGCCAGAAAACTGTAACAAGACCTAATGATAAATGACACCATATCCCTGTTGAGTGGAAAAAAAGTGTCTGGAGGATTGCCTTAAGCATTGTTATTCATGCCTGCCTGATTTTACATCTTCATTAATAATTTTCCTGAAGACAGGGTAAAAGGATACTTGAGAAATTGGCTGGTGAGACCATATTTGGAGATGAGCACTGGGAAAGTGGAAAGGAACTGAGTGAGCCTGGAGGCTGGCACAGAATAAAAGAAAATAGAATACACGATTATAGCCACAACTTTTTGTGGAACAGTCATTATAAATAAAAGTATACTTTGGCCAGAACTGTGTTAGAAGTAGGGATACTTCAGTGGATTCTAGAGAATAAGAAAAGAAGGGCAGGGGTGGGGGGAAGGGTGGTGACTAACATTTATGAAGCACCTACTGTGTATCAGGCATTTTATATGATCTCATTCAATCCTTACATAACTCTCTACTGTTTTTATCATTAACTCACAGATCCTAAAATTTCAGGTTTCTCTGAAGGGCTATACAGCTAGTGAGTAGTTGAGGAGGATCTTAAACCTAGGCCTGCCAGATCTCAAGGCTGAAGCTTTGTACACACCTCTTGCTGCCTCCCAAGAATTTCCTCTGTGTGGCCATATCCAAGCATTCAGAAACCTGACATTTATAAACTGATGAATGCCTGCAGTTATGCTTGATTTTCCAAAAGTTACCTCTAGTTGCTGCTTTAAGGTCTACGGTTGATTATTTTAGTTTGATGTTAGTTTCTAGTCCCACATTGGAATCTTCGTGTTTACCTTTCAATTTTGTTTCACTGCAAAAAACCTTTAGCAGAAATATTATAAGTTGAGTAGATTTAGGCTATGTTGGAGGAGAACTCATCTCTCAGCTGCTTTTAGCCCTCACACGTGATGAGACCTATTGGTCTCATGTTCTTCCAATATGGTGTCACTAATGTCCATCCCTTCTTTTCATTGAAATGACCCTCGTTCAGTGCTTTATTATCCTTCTTAATTCTAACCTACTTCAATCCATCCTCCCTACAGCTGCCCGAAGGGCATGTATGGACTTTTGGCCATTGTAAGGATTTTGGTTTTTACTCTGAGAGAAATAAGGAGCCACTGCAGGGGGAAGGAAATTATGTAAAATTTAACTAAGATCATTTAGGCTGCTATGTTGAAAACGGACTTTGGCAGGAGTAAGTATAGAAGCGGATGCAGCAGGCTGTTTGGGGGTAAAAGCAGTCATCTGGGCAAGAGATAGTGAAGACTTTCAGAGGTAGAAGCGGTGAGTGTGGTGAATTTGGCTCTGTAAGGGATGACTGCAATGTTTTTGGCCTGAACAACTAGAAGGATGGCATGTCCATCACATGTGGTGGCCAGGCTGTGGGTGGAGAGGGTTTACAGGAGCTCAGTGTTGGCCATGTCGGGTGCGAGATATCTGTTGGACACATGGGCATCACGGTGGAAATATCTAACAGCCAAAGCAGTGACAAAAACAACAAAAGGAAAATAAAATGATCGCATGAGTGTCGTAGTCATTCATCGACTGGAGAGAGAATGTCCCAGAAAGGGAAAGATAGCACTGATGAATCATTCTGATAGTCTCAGCTTTAAAATTAGGTGTAACAGAGATAACTGGGTGTTCATCCCATCAATCTGTTTTCCTTTTCTCCTTACTCACAGGGCCTCAGTTTTTACATGGTCTCACGGCTGTCTCCAAGATAACATTTTCCAGTCTCCTTTATACTTAGGTGGCATCAGTTGGCTAAATTCTGACTCATTAAATGTAAGCAGAAATGTGTGGGATTTCTGGGAAGCTTGTTTCAAGGGAACTGACTTCTCTGGCAAAGGCCTCTTTTGTTGTCTCCCATTCTTCCTTCTCACTGTCTGGAATGCAGAAGGAATAGCTAGAGCTCAGCAGCTCTCTCGGTGAGAGAACAAGTGCCCCACCCTCGTGACGGTAACCTATAGAACTAAAAGGATCCTCATCCTTAATTTTGTGAGGCGCCTGTGCTTGCTCTGACCTGCCAACTTCCAGGCTTCTTTTATGGGACAAGGTGCAATATGGGTGCGATGGGGCAATATGCAGAAGAGGTGAGAGGTGGGCTTCTCTTTTGTAAAGTGAGAAGAGCAGAAACTAGAATTGGCTTGACGTCTGCAAGCATAGCCCAGGCAGGTTAGTTAAGGACCTTAAGATGCATTCTGTTAGCACACTTCCCGCCTGTGCGCCCCTGGTCGAGTCTGAAAACTACCTCCATACATGATTGCCATTGAGAGCAGGGAGCATATCTTATTTACGTTCGTGCCCCAGTATGTACCGCAGTGCCACTTAAACAAGTGAATCTTTGTTGAATGGATACAGTAATTATTTCGAAAACCTAAAAGTTCAGCAGCTACCAAAGTTTAAATAACTGTTAAAAGAAAAGAGTTCTATTAAGGTTTTTTTTTTTTTTTTTTTTTGTCAGTATCTGAAAGAAGCCAGACTTGGGGACTTCTGTTGGGAAATCCTTATCTTTAGGTGAAAGCCAGAG